AAGTAAGGGACTCATCGCTGAACGAATCTTTTGTCAGAATTACACTTTCTGTCGCTAGTCATCATCCTGAGTAACTTATTAATACAGTTAGGATCAGAGGCATTTCTGGCTTTTGGGTCTTTTGTTGCTCGGAGGAGGATCGATTGAGTTGGGGGCGCCAGCGCAACGACTGTTTCTCGTTCTCTTTTCTTAACTTATAGGATTTCTCTAGTATGTCCCTTTTCTGTTACAATAGGTAAAGTTAACTTTCTTCTTCTCGATAACAGATTCTGGTCTGCTACAGGACAGATTCAGTGAATGTGAGTTTTCCTGGTAAAGTTACGAGAGTTTCAGTAGCAGGTACTCAGGCCGGCAATGAGCAGTGTATTTAGGTTGCCAAATTCTAGGACAAATCTTTAGTTACTTGTTTCTGAGTTTTTAGTACGTACAAGAGTTTGTGAGAAATTTCGTAATAGTGTCTGCTAATGCTGCAGTTTCCAGTAAATCTGAGGTGATGATCGATCAGATATCTTGTATTCAGCAGACATACAATTGTTAAATCTTCGTGTAGTAACCAACTGAACAAGGCTGTGTAGTTGGTACATTTAGCCGCTCTAGACCATCTCTCAATGCAACTTTTTTTCTTCCAGAGCAAACTCTACACAAGTTTGATCTTGTCGTCGTTGTAACGTAGAAATGGCTATTTGATAACTTACAGGTAACAAGTTTATGTCTCTAGATAGTTTGTTTCGACAGGTCATAAACTAATGTACTTAGCAAATGGTAAGGCTGCAGAAACGTTTTGAGCTTTCCGTCAAAATCAGTATGAAGCATTTTGCCCAGTGCTTACGTGGCCTGTTCATTAGCACGAGCCTGGTTTCAAACACATCAAAAATATGTGTCTAAGTCACTTTCAAAAAACTTAGGAACCATAGATGCAGCTTTCTGCACATTAAATGTGTTCCTGTGATATATCAGTTGTTGTCTTAACAGACGGAAGCCATTGTTCTCTTTGGAATCTTCTTCGTTCTATTCTCTGTGCCTCAATTTGTGCAGTCTGCAACTAATGAGGCGTTCCAACCTCTCAAAAAGTGTTCCTGCGAGATAGGACCAGTGGGGTAATGGAGGAGTAGGGGAAATTAACATGGTCTGACGGTCCTTAGGTTCGGACACTGGTCCAGCGTCTCTAGAGTGTCTAGATCTGGTATAGGGTAAGTAAATACAGGTGTAGTATACACTGTTTTAGTATTAGGCTGTGTCATACTACCATCTATACTCTGTACTATAGTATCAGTGACGGAGGGGTGCGCGAGAACTGAGCTACACTAGCTCAGGACATAGCTCCTTCTGCTCTAGTTGCTTTCTTTCTTCAACTTCAAATAGAGGCCATACTTTCCTAATCGTGACACTAGGCTTTCTGGATCGTGAATCCTAATCAGACATCTCTGTATGGAGCAGGAAAACAATATATCTTTAATTATTGCTTGACAGTTTCTGCGGAGTAATTCCTGTTATACGTAACACCGAGATATTGGCTTCTGCCAACACGTCTTAAAGTTTTAATGTACTTAACTCAGAAAAAGTCGAGTATCAATTAACTGTTTCACTTTGGCATACATCACGAAAATAATTGTACTACGAGAGAGTGATTATGGAACTTAATCCTAATAGGAATTTAAGTGTTGGTTGTCTTAGCGTTAGAAATCATAAGCAGTATTTCCATCTCCTTGGATCAAGAGACTCAGTCAGGTACTACATCCAACTGGTATGTTGTACAAGGACTAACTCAAAGTCTTTCAGATTAGAAAGTATCAAAGTGTTTGGATCTAGATTCACTAGTATGTCAAACTGGTCAATTTCTCCAACACCTTGGATCAAGAGCCTCCGGACAGTTTCTCCAAAACCTTGGATCAAGAGCACTCCCGGGCGGGCCCCATTGTTAACCAAAAAACGCGATTCTAAAGCTTACGAGATCTCCAGTGAATACTCTAGAAAGGACTGCCCTTCTAGCATCCAGCTGTTACTGGGTTTTCGTAACAAGTAGTCAGTACCCTTGTCCAATTAGCCATTAAAATTCAGTATGGTCCAATAGTGCTTTAGGAATTACAACTGGTAGGCTAATAACTAGAGAAATTAAAATTTAATAAATTTATTAAGTAGTAAGTTGTCTAGAGGTATATTATCAATTAAACTAATTACAGCAAATCAAAATAAAAATCAATCTTCGAGATTCAATATATTGTGCTGAAAGCCACTTCAATTTATAATTCTATTAAGTACCGTCAGGATACATTAACAGTTAATAAGATATTACAAATATCGTACAGTGTGTGTATGCGAATAGTGCTCTTAAGTAGGTAGAGTGTCTCAAGATCGAAATAGACTTAAACAGTGACTGACAAAGACCTCAAATAAACTAACGTCTTGACCGACTGGCAACCCTAACAGTCTGCTTGAACAACAAAAGAATTGCTAAGCCAATAGCAATGCAAATATCAAGCGACTGCGACACAGAATAGCGAACAGGAGATACTATAACGACCAATAAGTAGGGACCATCTGCAGATCCTCCACAAGTTACAAAACTCCATAAAAAACTGAATCTAACGTTCAGCATAGGAAAAACTGTGACTGTGACAATACACAGGAACCAGCTACAAAAATTAGGTCAGAAGCTAAAGCTCGGGACCTGAGATGATCAGAGTGTCCCTAGACACACAAAAATCAGTACAACGTCGAAAATCACAAAGTCTATACAATGTTCTCTGTGAACAAGTTCTACAGAACTAACAAGAATAATGAGACAGACAATCGGTCCAACCAGCAGCGAGTCTCCAGCATGACTGGACATTTCACGCGAGGTGAGGGACACCCCCCTCGATCACGTGATAGCTACGTGGACACTGCAAGCTCAGAAGCGCAGTATAACGAGCGAAAGCGATAAATTACAGTAGTTTGACAATCAAGACTACTGAGCACATTTTTATGGACACTCCTAACAACATAAGCCAAAATAACAGATATAACAGTCAAATAATAATATAAAGTCATACATTTACGATTTAGCTATTATCGCAAATATAAGCAATATAAAATTCAAATGAAAGATAATATACATTATATATACATAATAATCATTGTAACCCATTCAAGGTTGCAACAGTGTGTGTGTGTGTGTGTGTGTGTGTGTGCACTGTGTGTGGTGTGTGTGAGGTGTGTGTGTGCGGGTGTGTGTGAGGGTGTGTGTGTGTGTGAGTGTGTGTGTGTGTGTGTGTGTGCGTGTGCTGGGTGGGTGTGTGCATTGTAGTGGGGTGTGTGGGTGTGTGTTGTGTGTGTGTGTGGGTGTGTGTGGGTGGGTGTGTGTGAGGGTGTGTGTGTGGGTGTGTTGTGAGGGTGGTTGTGTGTGTGTTGGTGTGTGTGTGTGGGTGTGTGTGTGTTGGTGTGCGTTTTTTTTTTTTTTTCTTGTGTGTATGCATATATTTGTACGCTAGTGTGATATGTCCGTGCGTGCGCCTCGTGTGTGTATGTGTGCGCGCGCGCCTAGTGTGGGTGTATGATCCACTTAATATTTGTATTTATAACTCATTACAATTGTTGACCAGGTGTGGACGTATCAGTGGATTTTTACTTTGTAAATTTGTTCATGACTGTAACATGATAGGAGTGAAGCTGATCATTAACCTCTGTAACTTGCCATGATTAGTGACCAGATCTACATGAGTTCATACCTTTGTAACTAGTTCAGCTTTATCATAACTTTTGGGGTCCCAGTCACTGTACCCTTATTACCTTTGTAATCTTTTGACTACCGCCCACAGGTGGGTATGGGGTGCATAAAGATATTTAACTAAAGTGTGTGTGTGTGAGTGTGTGTGAGTGTGTGTTGTGTGTGTGTTGTGTGTGTGTGTGTGTGTGTGTGTGTGTGTGTGTGAGGTTGTGTGTGTGTGTGTGTTGTGTGTGTGTGTGGTGTGTGTGTGACAAAACTATCAATATTTGCTCCACAATAACTCATTACAGCTTGTGAAGGGTGTGGAAGTGTGAATTGCTCATTACTCTATAATTTGTTATGAATGTAGCCAAGTATTAACGTAAGTATCCATTCTAAGGAATTCATTACCTTTGTAAACTTCTGAGGCTGCATTTACCTTTGTACCTATGTTCAGCTATTAAACTTTGGGGGCCAGTCCCTGGACCCTTTACGTACTCTGTAACTCTGTAAATACCTTTGTAACTTGTCATGATTGTGACCAGACTTACCTGAGTTCATTACCTTTGTAAATTGTGATTCATTACCTTTGTAAATTGTGATTCATTACCTTTGTAAATTGTGAGTTCGTTGCCTCTGTAACTTGCTCAGCTATCAAAACTTTGGAGTCCAGTCCCTGGACCAATTATGTACCTCTGTAATCTTTTGACTACCGCCCACGGGATGGGTATGGGGTGCATAATAAACATATTAAACTAAAAAAAACTGTGGGTGAAACGTTGTCAATAAAGGATCACATTATACTTCATATGTGTTTATATTTCCAAAGGGACACTAACTTGGACTTTCTTAGTATGGGTCAGTGGGCCTTCTGCGTGCTTCCTCTTTATGTTCTTAAGTAAATTAACACGATAAATTCTAGACTTGCATCGCCATCACAATACATTTTAGGCATATCCATCACAATAAATTCAAGGACCTCAATGGAAATAAGTCACTATCTAACCTGTTTTGATTATCCCAGGTTATTTACACTCTGTAATTATTGTACTTACGTGTAACTGTGCCAAAATAAATTTTCTTACGTGAGTGAGGGAGAGGTCAGTACCTGAACTACTAACCTGCACAATAAACTACTGCTTTCATACTACATTAAAATAACACTTAATATTAAACACTAATAAAACATAATATAATACAATATTAGCATTAACATACATATAATAAAATGAAGGAGCATATCCTATTATAAAATATGTCGGGTATGGACATACCAGTAACAATTTTAGTCAGGTATCCCCAGCCACAACAACACGTGTGAGGCTGCTGATGCTCCTCACACCTCCACTCAGTCACCTTTATTTCAGGTTTTTTTTGACCTATAATGAGCAGGAATAAACGTGGTAGTCTTGAGCAGCGAGCTGCAGGCAACAGTAAATTGTTCGGAAACCCCGGTAGGTGTGTACGTTAATAAATATGTGAGGAAATTTTGCGGTGGAATAAATTTGAAGACAGATTCTGTTCGTTTGAAAAATTGTCTCTGGGTTATCCTGGCTTACGATTCTGAGGGTTTGTAAGCCAGGATAACCTTGAGGGTTTGTAAGCCAGGATAACCTTGAGGGTTTGTAAGCCAGGATAACCTTGAGGGTTTGTAAGCCAGGATAACCTTGAGGGTTTGTAAGCCAGGATAACCTTGAGGGTTTGTAAGCCAGGATAACCTTGAGGGTTTGTAAGCCAGGATAACCTTGAGGGTTTGTAAGCCAAGATAACCTTGAGAGTTTGTAAGCCAGGATAACCTTGAGGGGTTTGTAACCAGATAACCCAAGGGTTTGTAAGCCCGGATAACCTTGAGGGGTTTTTTTAAACCAGGGTAACATTGAGGGTTTGTAAGCCAGGATAACCCAGAGGGCTTGTAAGTCAGGATAACCCATAGGGTTTGTAAGCCAGGATAACCCAGAGGGTTTGTAAGCCAGGATAACCCAGAGGATTTGTAAGTCAGGATAACCTTGAGGGTTTGTAAGCCAGGATAACCCAGAGGGTTTGTAAGCCAGGATAACCCAGAGGATTTGTATGTCAGGATAACCCAGAGGGTTTGTAAGCCAGGATAACCTTGAGGGTTTGTAAGCCAGGATAACCCAGAGGGTTTGTAAGTCAGGATAACCCAGAGGGTTTGTAAGCCAGGATAACCCAGAGGGTTTGTAAGCCAGTATAACCTTGAGGGTTTGTAAGCCAGGATAACATTGAGGGTTAGTAAGCCAGGATAACCCAGGGGGTTTGTAAGCCAGGATAACCTGAGGGTTTGTAAGCCAGGATAACATTGAGGGTTTGTAAGCCAGGATAACCCAGAGGGTTTGTAAGTCAGGATAACCCAGAGGGTTTGTAAGCCAGGATAACCCAGAGGGTTTGTAAGCCAGGATAACCCAGAGGATTTGTATGTCAGGAAACCCAGAGGGTTTTTCAAGCCAGGATAACCCAGAGGGTTTGTAAGCCAGGATAACCCAGAGGGTTTGTAAGCCAGGATAACATTGAGAGTTTGTAAGTCAGGATAACCCAGAGGCTTTGTAAGCCAGGATAACCCAGGGGGTTTGTAAGTCAGGATAACCCAGAGGGTTTGTAAGCCAGGATAACCCAGAGGGTTTGTAAGCCAGGATAACCTTGAGGGTTTGTAAGCCAGGATAACATTGAGGGTTTGTAAGCCAGGATAACCCAGAGGGTTTGTAAGTCAGGATAACCCAGAGGGTTTGTAAGCCAGGATAACCCAGAGGGTTTGTAAGCCAGGATAACCCAGAGGATTTGTATGTCAGGATAACCCAGGGGTTTGTAAGCCAGGATAACCCAGAGGGTTTGTAAGCCAGGATAACCCAGAGGGTTTGTAAGCCAGGATAACCCAGAGGGTTTGTAAGCCAGGATAACATTGAGGGTTTGTAAGGATAACCCAGAGGGTTTGTAAGCTAGGATAACCCAGGGGGTTTGTAAGCCAGGATAACCCAGAGGATTTGTATGTCAGGATAACCCAGAGGGTTTGTAAGCCAGGTAACCTTGAGGGTTTGTAAGCCAGGATAACCCAGAGGGTTTGTAAACCAGGATAACCCAGAGGGTTTGTAAGCCAGGATAACCCAGAGGGTTTGTAAGCCAGGATAACCCAGAGAGCTTGTAAGCCAGGATAACCCAGAGGGTTTGTATGTCAGGATAACCCAGAGGGTTTGTAAGTCAGGATAACCCAGAGGGTTTGTAAGTCAGGATAACCTTGAGGGTTTGTAAGCTAGGATAACCTTGAGGGTTTGTAAGCCAGGGTAACCCAGAGGGTTTGTAAGTCAGGGTAACCCAGAGGGCTTATAAGTCAGGATAACCCATAGGGTTTGTAAGTCAGGATAACCCCGAGGGGTTTTTAAGTCAGGATAAAACCCTTGAGGGTTTGTAAGCTAGGATAACCTTAAGGGTTTGTAAGCCAGGGTAACCCAGAGGGTTTGTAAGTCAGGATAACCCAGAGGGTTTATAAGTCAGGATAACCCAGAGGGTTTGTAAGTCAGGATAACCCAAAGGGTTTGTAAGTCAGGATAACCTTGAGGGTTTGTAAGTCAGGATAACCCAGAGGGTTTGTAAGTCAGGATAACTTTGAGGGTTTGTAAGCCAGAATAACCCAGAGGGTTTGTAAGCCAGGATAACCCAGAGGGTTTGTAAGCCAGGATAACCCAGAGGGTTTGTAAGTCAGGATGACCCAGTGGGTTTGTAAGCCAGGATAACCCAGAGGGCTTGTAAGTCAGGATGACCCAGAGGGTTTGTATGTCAGGATAACCCAGACGGTTTTAAGTCAGGATAACCCAGAGGGTGTGTAAGTCAATATAACCCAGAGGGTGTGTAAGTCAGGATAATCTGGAGGATAGTAAGCTAGGATAACCCAGAGGGTTGCTAAGACAGGATAACCCTGAGTTAGTAAGCTAGGATAGCCTAGAGGGTTTGTAAGCCACAATAACCCAGAGGATTTTTAAGCCACAATAACCACAAGTTATCCAACATAATTTAGGTTTATTTTATGTTATAATAGGTTAGTGCTTGCCAGTAATTTTACTAAATTTAAATATGGGAGAGTTCTTAGTCAGTAGGAAAATATTGAAGGCTCCTGACTGATTGTTTAATGACTTGGTAATGCCAGGTCAGATCACTGGAATTCTTATCAATGACTTACTAGCCAAAGGCACATAGGTATTATGCAAGATAAGATCAAATTTGTTTGGATATTTAACCCAGGGGGAGGGTTAGTCAGTGAGTCATTGATGACTGTCTTGTCTTATTTCCACTGGAGTTCTGCAATCTTGGCCCCCAGGATGCAACCCACACCAGTCAACTAATATCCAGGTACCTACTTACTGCTACTTACTTACTGCTACCTACTTACTGTAAGGAAACATACCCAGCATTACTACCCGTACCAAGGATTGAACTACTGCCACTGTGTGCGGTGAGAGCATTGCCTACCAGGCCATGGGGCATCAAGACTGGTTTATTGTATTGTTGGAGGGGATGGGGGGGGGGTTGCTCTCCTATTGATTATACACTGGTCAACAACCAAAATGCTTCCGAGACCAGAGTATCAATTTCCAAATAATTTTTGGTCACTGATAACGTATATCATGGTTAAAATTGTTTGCTAGCTCTACTTTTCAATATATACCTACGTGTCAACCAAGACAGGACTCGCAGCAATTGATTTAAGTTGGATAAATTTAGATTTAACAAGGATATAGAAAAGCATAGTTTGCCAATAGAGTTGTGGATGAGGTCTGTGGTTTGATTCCCAGCAAGGGTGGAAACATTGGGCTTGTTTCCTTATGCCTCTTGTCCGTGTTCACCTATCAGTAAAATGGGTACCTGGGTGTTAGTTGACTGGTGTGGGTTGCATCCTGGGACAAAACTGACCTAATTTGCCCGAAATGCTCTGCATAACAAGGGACTTTCTGTATGGTATTATGTCATTGATGTCAGCTAGGCCTGTATACCTTGTACACATACTTATAGAAATAAAGATATTACAGTGGATCCTCGTTTTTCGTAATTAATCCGTTCCAGAGAATGTGATTATTATCGAAATTGACGATTTGCGAATCCATTTTCCCCATAAGAAATAATGTAAATCCAATTAATTTGTTCCAGACACCCAGAAGTATCAACCCAAAAAATTTTTTTTACCTTAAAGATAGATTTATATGCATAAAAGAATGAACCTTCAACATGACAGTTACCTTTACTGAAGGCTGTTATTGATGAATGGAAAACAGGGAAGAGGGGAGAGGGAAGAGAGGTTATTGTTTAGAACTGGAATCCCCCTCCATAAGGACTCTAGGTCACTTCAGGGGTCACTTCCCTAGCCACTTCCCTTGCTTAAATATAGATTTACATGCAGAAAAGAATGCTAAATAAATGTAAAGCACTAATAAAATGTATATATGAACATTTAACATCACACTTACCTTTATTGAAGACTCTTGTTTGTGTATGGCAGACGGGGTAGAGGGAGGGGAGGCGAGTTTATTGTTGGAGAATATGACACTATTATCAACTCTACAGCTTATTCATCTATCACAATTCAACTAATATGACATAATAAACAATATCAATAACATAGAAACATGGAATATACTCTAGAATGAATAAAATAAGTCATTAAGCATGTCACAAGAGGTGTTCTGTTGTTGTTTTGTGTATAAGGGCCACTGAGAGCATAAGTCATCCATAATGGTGGTGAAGCAGCAACTGAGGTGGGGGTGTTTTCTGTAGCCCTATATAACTCCAACAACATTGGAGGAGTTAGTAGAATCACTGAAGAAGGCACCCTCTATCACCATCACAACCACTACCACCATCACAACCACTACCACCCTCTACCACCATCACAACCACTACCACCCTCTACCACCATCATAACCACTACCACCCTCTACCACCATCACAACCACTACCACCCTCTACCACCATCACAACCACTACCACCCTCTACCATCATAACCACCACCACCCTCTACCACCATCACAACCACTACCACCCTCTACCACTATCAGAACCACTACCACCCTCTACCACCATCACTACCAACCTCTACCACTGTCACAACTGCTACCACCATCACTACCACCTTCTACCACCATCACTACCACCCTCTACCACTATCACAACTGCTACCACCCTCTACCATCATCACTACCACCCTCTACCACTATCACAACTGCTACCACTCTACCACCACCACTTTCGTATTTTTCTACAAACTTTTTCTTAAATTATATGTGTTTCTCACATTCTTTACCAAAGGGCTGGCTCTAGAAGCTTTCTTTGGAGCCATGGTGACTTATTTAGCAGTTGCAAGCACTAAAACGAATGGAATATTATGAAATGTATCATATGAACTCATGGGATCATCCTCACTCACTGATAAACAATGGCACACTCCCTGGGAATGGAGTGTGAGGCGGCTCGGGGCTGTGCATATGTGTCCCAGACGAACGACTATTTGCGAGTCAAATGACAATTCGCGAGTCAATGTTTTGATGAAAAAAATGTTATGATTTCCAAAAATTATGACTTTCGAACCTTATGGAAAACGAGGATCCACTGTATTATTATTATTTACAAATTACCATGTGGCATAATCGAGGCAAATACAGTGCTCTGGACATGTTGGATGTGAGTATGGCCTAGCTAACATGGTCCAATAGGTCTACAGCAGTGCTTTACTATTACGTGCCTTGATTAATGTAGATGAATGGTTCGGAGAACCAACAAGTTGATAAATTAGACACATGTGCAACACTTGGGTATCTTTAATGAGGAAATGTTTTGCCACACAGTGGCTTCATCAGTCCATACAAAGGAGAATGGTGAAGAATAGGAGGAGTTTGAGGAAATCAGTCCCTCAGCCTTGAGTCAATGTAATCAGTCCATCAATCTTGAAAAGAATACAGCATATGTCAGACACAGCAACATCTTTGGATCTTGATACAGGGAATTCTTCACTTGCCTAACCTTTAGGCATGACCTAATTCCACATTTGGATTTGTCAAATGTGATACCACCTACGACTGCAGCACCTCACTGGCTGTATTCTTTTCAAGATTGATGGACTGATTACATTGACTCAAGGCTAAGGGACTGATTACTTCAAACTACTACTGTTCTTTACCATTCTCCTTTGTATGGACTGATGAAGCCACTGTATTGCAAAACATTTCCTCATTTAAAGATACCCAAGTGTTGCATATGTGTGTTTTATTGATTAATGTAGTTCCAGTTTCATAAATATAGTCATTTATGAAATGAAATTTATTGCCTTTTAATTCAGTATTAATGTTGAGTGTCCCTGGTTGCAGTGTGTGCATTTATTATCCTAGTACAGTACAGTGGTACCTCGAGTTACGAACTTAATTCGTTCCAGAAGGCTGTTCAAGTGCCGATACCAAACTAATTTGTTCCCATAAGGAATAATGTAAATTAGATTAGTCCATTTCAGACTCCCAAAAATACACTTACAAAAGCATTTACAAAAATACAGTGGACCCTTGGCTAATGCCTTTAATCCGTTCCAGAGAGCTAGCCTTTAGCCGAATTAATTTTTCCCTTAAGAAATAATGGAAATCCAATTAATCCATTCTAGACACCCAAAAGTATTAAACAAATTAATTTTTTTACATGAAATATACATTACCCTACACAGAAAACAATGATACATGCACAATAAACAATACTGAAATGACACTTACCTTTATTGTGGACTTGTTGATGAGTGATGAGACGGGAGGAGGGGAGAGGATGAAGGTGTTCTATTGTTTGGAAGGGGGAATCCCTTTCCATAAATATTTTAGGTACCACGTTCTTTTCTGGGGTTACCTCCCTTCTTTGTTTTTTAATGCCACTATGACCAGCTTGAGAGTCACTGGACCACCCTCTACCACCATCACAACCACTACCACCCTCTACCACCCTCTACCACCACCACTTTCGTATTTTTTCTACAAACTTTTTCTTGAATTCTATCGTGTTTCTCACATTCTTTACCAAAGGGCTGGCACTAGAAGCTTTCTTTGGGCCCATGGTGGCCTATTCAGCAGTTACAAGCACTAAAAACAATGGAATAATGCAAAATACATCGCATGTATGCGCAGAATTGTCTTCACTGGCTTTGTAAACAATGGCACACTGGTTGTACAAGGAGTATGGAGTGGCCGTTCCCGCTCAGGCCGTGCAGATACATTCGGGATGAAAGCCCTTAGCCGAGTTTCTTGGCATTAGCCGAGCCAATATTTTGATGCCAAAGAGAGCCATTAGCCAATTTTGGCATTAGCCAATGCAGCCTTTAGCCGAGGGTCCACACTACACTTACATAATTGTTCGAGTTGGGAGCTGTTCAAAACTCGAGGTACCACTGTACTATATGTATTACATTACTAATTTATGCTTAAACTGTATTTTAAATGTATTTCTATTCACACATTACTGTTTTTAACAGTTTCTTGAAATGCCCAGAGATTATTATTAATGTACATATGGACTTATCAATCTGCTACACATTATTTTTTTATGAATTTTTTTAATCTGTGACGGTCACTCTCTTGAACACTATGTGCTTAATTGTCCACATATTGAGGAATAAAGAGTATAATAACTTGTGGTATCTTATTAGTAAAAGTAAGATGTCAGGCATATTAAACAAATTTCCTAAATTTGCTTGTAACAGATAAATCAGCTGTAGATGTAAATCCAGATCTACTCCTGTTAATCCTTTTGGCACCTAGTTCCTAGGCCACCTGTGTATTCGTATGCTCTTTCACTACTATCCACAGGATGGATATCAGGCACACAATAAACTATCCACTTCAGTGGGGAAATAATCTGACCTATGGAGAAATTTTTGTGGCATACATGTTTTTAAACAAGTACTACATGAAAAATCAAGCCTATTTACGGTATATACAGTACAGTATTTCTCTTTTTACATTTGCTGCATTCAGGGGATCTTTCATATTGAAAGAGCAGTGCCCTCTTTCCCTCTCTCTGAGTTGACGTATCATAATCTGGAAGAAAACCCTATTTTTGGGGAAAAATTTGAACTTGACTATACATCGGAATATTAAAATCATGAAAAGAGTCAAAACATTTTAAAATTATAAAAATAATTATCTAAACATGAATCTTTAAATATTAGAACACTACTGTAGAAGCCAGGAATATACATGTAGCTACATTGATAGCTTCAGCCAGAAGTTTACTGATTCAGGCAAATGGTGACTCTTAACTCTTTGTTGGCAGATTTTGAGTGAGGAGCCCCAGCCCAGACCTGTCAATTAATATGGAAGGAAACTCCTTTGTTGTTCCTGGCCACTTGCCGCTAAAGTGGAATTGCCATGGACCCCCAGGAGCCCCTGTCCCTGGTCATCCATTCCGACAAGAAGCAGCATGGATGACCCCTGAAATACGCAACGAATTACAGACCCGTAACAGCCTACGAGAGATGTCTGTGAGAACTGGTAATCCTGAGGATCGTCTGGCTTATCAGACTCAGTGTGAGAAGGTACAGAACATGATTGACAAGGCTAAGTCTGGTCTTGGCTTAGCTTCTAGTCACAACTCAGGTGTTAATAAACATTACATTGTACCTCCCCAAGAGGGTCCTGGTTTTAAGAATGATAAGGTTGATTTCTCTGGCCAAGGCTTTGAGAATGGACTGTCTGAACATCAGTATCCTGGCCACCTAAAAGGATTGCCTAAGGTTGACTCCAGAGTGACGTATTATGAGAATACTTCAAGCTCCTATTCTCGAATGACCAGAAAACCTCTCTCCTGTGGGCCTTGCAACCGCACATTTTACAGCCAGCAGAGGCTCGATGAACACTTGCAAGACCATGTCGAATGTCCTTTTCCTGAGTGCAAACTTAGTGCTCACATTAAGATCATTGATCAGCACATCAATAATCAACACATGTTAATCAACTTCGCCAGTTTACAAATAGACGACGAGACCTGGATTGCAGAGAGGAAAAAGAGGTTTCCTTCGGTCCAGAGAGCAGAGCTTCGAAGAGCAGAACAAATGGAAAAACTGAAGAGGGGTGAAAGGTTGGGTAAAAATAATAGACTTTTTAACAAAGATAAAAATAATAAATTTAGCAAAATGAGACAGGACATGACTAGAAATAGGAACGGCAGCACCACTGGTAATGTGAAAGAAGCAACAAGTAAAGATAGAAATACCACTGCCAATGGAAGTTTGAAAGATTGTGCACTGAGTAAAAACACTGTAACTGAGAGTTTAAAAGACTTTGCAACAGGCAGAGATAAAAACAGCACCACCACTGCCACCACCACCACTAGTAGCTTGAAAAACTTTACAAGTAGAGATCAAGATTTATGTGAAAAGAATGAATTAAATGAGGGTGAGCCAAGAAGTAAATTAAGAAAAAAAATGGCACAGAGACACGAAAGGCCTGCTTGTGCCCCCAAGGCAAGCATTGTAGTAGACCTTTATGACTCAGATGATGAGTTCAAGGATGGTATACCTGCCTTCAAGGGAACAAGACAGTTTTATGAGAGCATTGGAGAAGTCAGCTATTTCAGGGAGAAAAATGCAAACACAGTTGATGTAGACGAAGACATCTTAAAGGAGACTGATTTTCGCATTAGTGATGATGAGGAATGGCACACGGAGAATAAAGATGCAAATACCAGTTCAGGAATGCTAGTTCTTGGAGGTGCATTGGGATCCTTAATGGGTGCTTATTCTGATTCTGAAGATGAGAATACTGATATCCCAGCACCTAGTAAGAGTGATGGGAAACATGAAACAGGTTCTACACATACTGCTGCAAATGATTCTCAACAAGAAGGCAATAAATCTGACCACAAAAATGGGGGTAATAATCAGGATTTCACTCCAAACGAGCACGGTGCTGGAAAACGGAAAATACGTCGACGACCAAGGTACCATAACAAAGGGTCTAAAGGACCTGCAACACAAAAAAGACCCTTTCCTTTTAAAAGGACGGTAACAAAGCTATTCCCGAAAAGGCGTAAAACTCTGTTAGAGAGACTCTTGCAAGCTGATATAATACATGAGAGAAATGTGATCCTCCAGTGTGTACGTTTCATTGTTCAAAACAATTTCTTCGATGCCAACACTAATAAAAATGATGGTTTAGAAGTAACAGATTTGCCTTTGAAAAGAATAGTCCCAGTGGAGAAAATATCAGTAGGTGAAACAATTGAGTCCATGGGTGAGGAAAAAACTGTTGAAGATTGTGAAAAGAAAACTGATGAGATAGTGGGAAAAGAAACAGAGAAACATGAGAACAACATTGATGATGCTATGGAAGTTGCGACAGATACAAATATTGCTAATGTAGAGGCAGAAAATGTAGTGAACATAGAAAAGGAAAAACCTGTTGGAGATTGTGGAAAGAGAACTGACAAGACAATGGAAAAAGAAATAGACAAACATGAAAATATAATTGATACGAGGGAAGTTGTGACAAGTACAAATATTCCTAGCACTGAGGCAAAAAATACAGTGAACATGGAAGAGGAAAAACCTGCTCAAGATTGTGGAAAGAGAACTGACGACGCAACAGAAAAAGAAATGGAGAAATGTGAAAATAACATTGATAATATGATGGAAGTTGCAGCAGATACAAATGTAGAGGCAGAAAATGCAGTGAACATTTGCCTTGATCATCTGGAGGGTGGTAAAATTTTAGTTATAGAGGAAAATAGTTGTTCAAATGGTCTTGGAGAAAATGGCAACACTGTTGAAGGAGTAGACACTAAACCTGAATGCAAGGGGGAAAACGGCAAAGTTGAGATAGATGGAAATACTCTCAGGTTATCTAGTGATATGAACATGGAAATAAATACGTGCCATACTCAAAATAAAGAAAATAATGCATAATTAGTATATGAAACCATTGATAGTAGAGACTTGAGGGAGAGTAAGAATATTATGTTCATTATATAAGACTTCATAATGTACAGTGTGTACATAGTGACTGAATGTATATACTACATGCAAGACATGAGCATTAATTGAAATTTTTTTTTAAGGCTAATGTAAGTTTCCTCTTGTTATTTTCGGACTGATTTCTGTTTGAAAGTGGTCAAGTGCATGAACACTTGTATGAAACCATTTGAGATGCCATTTACAATTTTTTAATAATAAATGTTATATTTGTTCTTAGCAATTGACCAGTGCATGTTTAGTGTTGTATGCCTCATAAAATGACCAGTGATAAATATTTTTTTTTTTCAACAAATTGGCCGTATCCCACCAAGGCAGGGTGGCCCAAAAAGAAAAACAAAAGTTTCTCTTTTTAAATTTAGTAATTTATACAGGAGAAGGGGTTACTAGCCCCTTGCTCCTGGCATTTTAGTCGCCTCTTACAACACGCATAGCTTATGGAGGAAGAATTCTGTCCCACTTCCCCATGGAGATAAGAGGAAATAAACAAGAACAAGAACTAGTAAGAAAATAGAAGAAAACCCAGAGGGGTGTGTTTATATATACGTATATGCTTGTACATGTATGTGTAGTGTGACCTAAGTGTAAGTAGAAGTAGCAAGACGTACCTGAAACCTTGCATGTTTATGAGACAAAAAAATGGACACCAGCAATCCTACCATCATGTAAAACAATTACAGGCTTTCGTTTTACACTCACTTGGCAGGACAGTAGTACCTCCCTGGGTGGTTGCTGTCTACCAACCTACTACCTAGAGTGATAAATATCCCAAGCATAAATTATTTTTTTTTTTTTAATTTTGCAAAACCTACAATCTCTCACTTTCTCTTCTCTCCCTTCTCTTGTATCTTTATTGAAAATCTTTCTTCTCACTTTCTTGCCCTTCTCTTTCCCTCTCCCATTCTTCTCTCCATCCTCTACCTTATCTTCTTGTGTGTGTGTGTGTGTGTGTGTGTGTGTGTGCAAGAAGTTGAATTTTGGCCTTGCCTTTTTGGCCATGTTATAACTATTCTTAAAGTTTATTTACCTTAAGTCACTCCACAACCCCAAGTTTAAATAAGTACAGTGGAACCTCTACTTGCGAGCGTGTCCACGTGTGAGTTTTTCCAAATACGAGCAGGCGATGGGTCGATTTTTTGCTTCCATACGCGAGGAAAATTTACACAAGCGAGCAGACCTCAAGGCAGGTTCCTTGACACTGGTGAGGGACTCTTGCTCTTGATCTTGGGAATTGTATCTCATTTGTTTGTTGGACTATCTTACTGAAACTTGGGCAATATATGTTGGAAAGATGCTTCTTAACGTACACCAAAAATGAAAGAAATCTAAGCATAAATAATGGAGTTCACTTCTCAGCAATTAGCCACCCCTTAGTGGTAATTTCGAATGGTTTTTATAGTTGTATTCTCGTTTTTTTGGTCTCATTTGATAGAATGGAAGATATATTACAGAAATAGATATGATTTTGATTGCTTTCATGACGAAAAGTGCCTTGAATTAGAGCTCAACCTAGGAGAAATAGTCCATTGCTTGGCTGTTTCAGTGTAAACAAATGACGTCACTGTCCATTCCAATATGCAGTCGTGAATGGGTTGACATATTTATACAATTATTGCAATAAGGAATAACAGTAAATCTTATATTTTTTGTGTGAATAAAAATTACAAATAATTTATATAATAATAATAATAATGATGATAATAATAATATGTATAATAATATGAATAATAACAATACGTATAATAATAATAATAATAATAATAATAATAATAGTATAATACAATAATAATAATAATAATAGTATAATACAATAATAATAATAATAATATATGTATAATAATACATATATAATAATAGTGTACTACATATAATAATTATAATAGACGGCTTCAAACGGCCGTCACTAGATGGCAGTGTTTACCACAACAAAGAGGGAGTGGTTGTGGCCGCCTCCACCAGTTACATAATGACATATTTTATTCATTCTAGAGTATATATCGTGTTTCTATGTTATTTATATTGTCTGTTATGTCATATTAGATGAACTGTGATATATAAATAAGCCGTATAGATGATATTAGCGAAATTATTCATGAAGAATTTTGCCCAGTGTCCAGACAAACTCTCCTCCACTGCCGACTCTGCCCATACCACTACATGAATGACATATTTTATTCATTCTAGAGTATATATCATGTTTCTATGGTATTCATATTGTTTGTTATGTCATACTAGATGAACTGTGATAGATAAATAAGCAGTATAGATGATATTAGCGAAATTATTCATGAAGAATTTTGCCCAGTCTCCAGACAAACTCTTGTCCACCGCCGACACTGCCGTACCACTACATGAATGACATTTTATTAATTTTAGAGTATATATCAAGTTTCTATGTTATTTGTTTATTATGTCATATTAGATGAAGTGAGATAGATAAATAAGCCGTAGAGTTGATACAGTGGACCCCCGGTTAACGATTTTAATCCGTGCAAGAGGGCTCATCGTTATGCGAAATAATCGTTATGCGAATGAATTTTCCCCATAAGAAATAATGGAAATAAAATTAATCCGTGCAAGACGCCCAAAAGTATGAAAAAAAATTTTTTTTACCACATGAAATGTTAATTTTAATACACACAAACTGAAAAAGGCATGCACAATTACATGACACTTACTTTTATTGAAGATCTGGTGATGATTGATGGGATGGGAGGAGGGAGAGCATTATCTTCTTACTGTTTAGAAGGGGAATCCCCTTCCATTACGACTTGAGGTAGCAAGTCCTTTTCCGGGGTTACTTCCCTTCTTCTTTTAATGCCACTAGGACCAGCTTGAGAGTCACTGGACCTCTGTCGCACAACAAATCTGTCCATAGAGCTCTGTACCTCCCGTTCCTTTACGATTTGTCTAAAATGGGCCACAACATTGTCATTGAAATAGTCACCAGCACGGCTTGCAACAGCTGTGTCAGGGTGATTTTCATCTATAAAGGTTTGCAGTTCAACCCACTGTGCACACATTTCCTTAATCTTTGAAGTAGGCACAATGGATTCCACAACTGGCATAGGCTTCTCAGGGTTAGCCCCAAACCCTTCAAAATCTTTCTTAATTTCCATACTAATTCTCACCCTTTTTACCACAGGGTTGGCACTAGAAGCTTTCTTGGGGCCCATGGTCACTTATTTTCCAGAAACAGCACCGAAAACACTGTAATAATACGAAATATTCCGAGTGTATGCTTGGATGTTACCGCGGAGGCTGGCTGGTAAACAATGGGACGGCCGGCACATGTGAGGCTGGCTGAGGGCACATTGGACGCGTCTCGGACGAAAATCGGTAAGCGGGTTTTTAATCGGTATGTGCGGCAAAAATTTTGCGATAAAAGTAATCGGTATGCGGAAAAATCGCTATGTGATGCCATCGTTATGCGGGGGTCCACTGTATTAGCGAAATATTGAAGTACAGAATTCCACTGGAACGGATTAATTGCATTTCAATTAATTTAAATGAGGAAAATTGACTCTGCAAATGAGCAAATCCAGTTGTGAGCAAGGTCATGGAACGGATTAAACTCGCAAGTAGAGGTTCCACTGTATATACAGACATACCTTGCTAATAGAGCACCTTGCTAATACAGTGCTTTTTAGTTGAATATCTTCGTGTTTATCATTTTCGGTGGTGACGAGCACAGCTGACCAGCGCCATTTTTTTATTTATTTTTACTTTTGCATGTTTTTTAGGCCTAGCACTATTGTGCACATAATAAATGATAGTGTAAACGTGTTTTTTGGCTTTTATATGCACTGGCTAGTGGAAAAAGGCTGTGATTTGCTTTATAGCGGTGGTCTTGAACCTAACCTGCCATATTAGTGAGGTATACTTATGAGTACAGTGGAAACCCGGTTTTCATTCAGCCCGGTTATCGTACAATTCAGTTTTTGATGACTTTTTCGGCAAAATTTTCCCCATTTTTTTACATCTGCTCGGAAATCATCCATACCAGACGCGTCCACCTGCCCGCGGGATGTGCCGCTCATACGTTTGTGACTCAGTCTGCCTTTGTTGTTCGTTCAGTGAGCATTACTCTGCACGTTCATCCGAAACAAGACCTTCATCTGGAACAACAACAAACCTTAGCTGAGGAAATTGTTTCAGAGGAGGAAGAAGAGAGAGGGGAGAATGTGCCTTCTTCAGCGATTAAGGACATTTGTGCAAAGTGGAGAGAGGTGCAGTTTTATGGAGAAATATCACCCTAACAAAGCTGGTGCAAGCCGTGTCAGTAACATGTTCAATGACAATGCCGTGTCCCATTTTAGGGAAATCTTAAAGAGACACCAGAAACAGGCCTCTCTAGACAGATTTTTTGTGCGACTGGGGTCCAGTGACTTTCAAGCTGGTCCTAGTGCCAGCAAAAGTCAAAGAAAGGAAGTAACTCCAGATAGGGCTTTGATACCTGAAGTCCTTATGGAGGGGGAGTCCCCTTCCAAATAATAACTTCTCCTCACTGTCTTCCATATGCCAACAAGAGTCTTCAATAAAAGTAAAAGTGATGTTAAATGTTCATTTATCCATTTCATTCGTCATTTATATTTATTTCTCATTGTTTTCTGTATGTAAAACTATAGTTATTCTCTATAAAATGTATTTTTTATTCATATTTTTGGGTGTCTGGAACGGATTAATTGGATTTCCATTATTTCTTATGGGAAATATTACTTCAGTTTTCATACAAATCAGTTTTTGGCCGACCTTCTGGAACAGATTAAAGATGAAAATTGGGGTTCCACTGTATTTCCTAATGTCCCTCTAGCTATGTTCCTTAGTCCTCCATCCCTGCCTGTCAGATAGTCTAAGAGTGTCTGCCCTTTCAAACCTAAGTGTACCTCTATGTTATCAGGCTTCCCTAGTCCTTCAGTTGTAGTTCTTTGTTTTTCCTGAGGTCAGTCTTATTGTAAATCTCTGGTCTCTGTCTAGATGCTTTCTTACCTAATTTATGGATGGGGTTGCATAAGCAGTGAATGACAGGGTGTTAAGAAGTATATGATTAATGCATTTGTACTACCAAGAGCGTATCCGTCATACGCATCAGTGATTCCATAACATTTGCCATAAGCAGCCATGAAGCAGCAGTAGATTCAGCAGAAGGATTTGTTAGCTTTACATGACTATTAGTGAGCGATGACTCTCATAGACATCAGGGAAGAGCCAACTTCTCAAGATGAATGAGATTAATGAATCTGTTACAAAGTGACTGTTGTTTCAATTGATATTTGCTGATGGCACAGTTCTTTTGGGAGCTTCAGAAGAGAAGTTGCAAAGGCTGGTTGATGAATTTGGGAGGGTTGTGTAAAAGAAGGAATTTAGAAGCAAATATACAGAGGAGGAAGGTAATAAGAGTAACAAAAAGTCTAGGCAATGAAAGATTAGATATAAGACTGGAAGGAGGGATTGTGAAGGAAGCTAATGTATTCAGATACAGTGGAACCTTGACTTAGGAGTTGAATCTGTTTCAGGAGCTAGCTCATAACTCAGTTTACTCGTATATCAAGTTAATTTTCCCCATTTAAAAATTAATTGAAAAACCATTAATTTGTTCCTGCACTCTGGAGAGACGAGAAAAAATACTTGAATATGACGCTATTATCAACTGTATGGCTTATTTATCTATCACAATTCATCTGACATAATAAACAATATAATTAGCAAAGAAACATGATATATACTCTAGAATGAATGAAAGAGGCCATAATATGGTGGCAGAGGCAGTGGCAAAAGCATTGCCATTTCTGTCCCAATTTGACTGTAGTATCTTCCCATGTTCTTACTGTAAGAGACAACGGAGTATTTTTGAGGTTAACTGCAGTAGATCACTAGGACCCATGGTTAGAAAAAAGAAATTTGGCCAAATGACTGTAAAAAAATGCAATCACAAGAGAACTGCCCCCACGGGGATGTAAACATGTTTACTGCTTACCAGCTGTGCTATCAGCTGTGCCAACTAGCAGAAGCAATCTGAATTATTATTACGTATGTATTATGCATTATTATTATTATTATTAATTTAGGGAACTGAAGCTCTATCATTACTATAATAATTATTATTATTATTAATTTAGGGAACTGAAGCTCTATCGTTATTATGATAATACAGTAGACCGCCATTGAAGAATGACTGCACAATTTTATGTAACACGTCGTATAATTAATTTAACATGGTTCAGTTTGTGGGAAGGAAAAAAAAATTCTCTTTTGCTCAAGTGGCCACCTTGTGTAGCAGCCAGGGAGCCATCCCCTACCACTACCCGACACTTCCCCATAATCCCAGCACTCCTAATTCATACGTGTCCAGTCTTTCTCTGCTACAAGGCAGCTGTGTTTGTCAGTTGTGTTATGATATTTTAATTACTATATCTTGTATCTGCCAAGCAATTATGACACCCAGCAGCCATACTAGTGTTTCTGAAAGTGGCACAAAGAGGTATAAGCACTTAAGTCTTAGAATTAACAAAGATATTAGATGAGATAACCTGTAGCCGTAATTGAAGTGTTACTTTGACTGACTGAATGACTGACTTACTGAGTGACTTGACTGATTTACTGAATGACTTGACTGAATTACTGAGTGACTTGACTTTAATAATATTATTATATTATTATTATATTGTTATTGCTGAGAAGAAAAAGAGAATGATTTCCATAGAATTAAAGCATGAAATCATAGATAAACAAGTGAGGTGTCCAGGTTTTGGGTTGAGGGGGAAGAGAGAGGGGGGGAGCTGGCTCGTAACTCAGAGCAAAAAATCGACCCAGGGATGGCTCGTATCTCAAAAAACTCGTAAGTCAAGGTTCCACTGTATTTTGTAGTGGTCATTTTGGTAGATGGGATTATGAAAGATGAGATGAACCATAGAATAGACAGGGAGGAGGGGAATAGGTAGGTGGTTTGTTAAGGCTTCTGTGTAAAGAAAGAAGCTTATGTATGTAAACAAAACAGGGGAATATACTAGGGTATAACGGTACCTACACTTATATGGGTGTGAGGTATGGGCTTCCGAAAGGATGAGGCTAGAGATAGTGGAGGTGTGTTTGAGAGCAATGCGTGATGTGAATATTATGCAAAGAATTTGGAGAGTAAAAATTAGAAAATAGTGTGGGGTGACCAAAGTTATGATTTAGAGGGCTGAAGAGGGGTTGTTGAGGTGGTTTGGGGTTTTAGAAATGTTGAAGCAGAATATGATGATCAGTAGGATGTATAAAGATGGATGGAAAGAAGGAAGGTTAGGGTTGTCCCAGGAAGGTTTGAAGGGCAGAGGTAGAGATTGTGAGTGCTAGGGAAAAGCCAGGTTTGCTAGGTGCATATATGCTGCTAATGTTCCAGTGTTGTGTGTTTGTGCCTCCTGTAGTATAGTACTTAGTACACATATCACAGTTATGCTGACCCAAGAACCTTTGCCTTGTTTAAAGTGTACATCATTTGTTCCCATAATCTTTACCCCCATCTCTGGTCTTTACCATCCCTGATTTTCATAATTATGCACTTTTGGAGGTTGAAATCTAGTGTTTTGACCATTCTGTAGTTGTTCAAGTACTTAGAGCTTTTGCTTTCTTTCCATTTGTTATTCAGTAGTTGTACACTGATCAAGAATAGTGAAATATGATAGTCTCTCTTCTGGCTTGTCATTTATATAATAGAGGAGCAGTACCAGTTCCATTACTATTTCTTGTGGGACACCACTCATCACGTTTGCCAATTCTGGTACATCCTCCCTAACCATTATTCTAGGTCTCCTTCCCTCAGGCCTTCAGTATTTTGTAATGATTAAGGCAGTGTATGACCAATTGTAGCTCTTCCTGAAGAATTTACTATAACGTTGATTCAGTATAGTATTTTTAGTGTTATCCTTGCTTGCTTTGCTACTTTGTGGAACAAAGCAGGCAGTAATGTAAGTAAGTTTATTTAGGCACAGGTACACATAAGTACAAATTATCATACATAGTGTAAATTACCTAGGATAACCCCAGAAAAGACAGACGTAGTGACTTATTTCCATTGGTATTGTACTGACTGACTGCTAAGCAATTTTGAAATATGTAGTCTGTCTCTGTATAAGACAAATATAGGTGAGTAAACATGCCCACTCTGAATTATTTCTAAATTTACTTCCTTTAGAACTTTATTAAAAAAAAAATTGTTTTGAATTTAGATTCTATACAGGAATACAGTAATGGTAAGATTTAGAATTATTGTACCAACCTTCACAGTATTTGTATTCAAATAATAATTTTAACTGTAAACATGCACTGGTAATGATATGTTTCAAAATAAAATGTTCCTGTTAATTGATATAATTAATAAAGAAAAAATTGGTTTTATTGTGCTCTATCTTCCTTGCAGTGCTTTTCCAAACTCCAGTTTTCCTTGTAAACAGATAAGCTCCACTCTAGGTGGAAGAACACAATATACCTCTGTATCACCATTAAAAATCTTATAACACTCAAGCAATTTGCTTGAGTAAAGTATAGTATTGGGTCCATCATTTTGAAACACCCAGTATAACTGACTCCCTACCTTCATGCCTGTGTGTGACTAGTTAATGCTCAGAGTAGGATCGAAGCGTTGTCATAAGTTTTCTCTCCTGTGTGTGGGTTATTTGTGTATTATTTTACCACATTGGTCACTTACCACCAACATTGGAGACCAAAGGAAAGAATCATTTACCATTACTCATTCAGTAGCTGTTTTGACAGAAGCACACATGGACATCACAATGAAAATGACTGTGCTTCAGCACTCGTACCCATTAAGGGAAGTGCCTTGATGCTAGCGAGAAGGTTCTTGATTCAAGGAACTGGACTTACCCTCCCCTTCTTTAGATCAAACCTGAATGCCTCCCATTTCTCAGGCACTATATAACTCCTACAGGTTTAGCACTTCCCCAAAAATTAAATGACAGTATTCAAATAGAAATAGGGGTAAAACATTCAGCAGGCATACAGTGTGCTAGTGAGCTTGATCAGAGTGGAGGCAGTGAGCTTTAGAATTTAGGGGCACGTAAGTTCCCCCATCTTCTAATAACATGTTCATTTTTCCACTATAATCTATCCTGTCCATAATTACTATTGCATTTGCTTTGTCTTCTTCGTAAGGTGAAGTTGACAAATCTTTGAGGACAATTGTGTTGGAGAGGTCTGAGCTTTGCTCACACATCTTTAAGGATAATTGTCCTCAAAAATTTGTTAAGTTATACCATGAATTAAGGAAAGATCCTGGACTTCACCTTATGAAACAGACAAAGCAAATGTGATAGTAATTATGGACAGGGTATATTATAGTGGAAAAATGAACATGTTATTAGAACACAGGGGAAGTTACATGCCTCTTAAGTTGCTGTTAGAATGGGACATGGCACCTGTGAAAGTATTTAGGAAAGAACAATAAGGCACAATACCATGACTGTAACAACACACAAGCAACGTACATGTAGGAGAAAAAAACTTACGATTACGTTTTAGTCTGACTTGGACCATTAACTAGTCACAATGGTCCCAGTCAGACTGAAGCGCCATCATAAGTTCCTTTCTCCTATGTGTGGTTATTTGTGTATTTAGGGTAACTAGCTATGGGAGGTAAAATGCAAGCACTTCGAAAGTCATGTGGGGATGTTGAGGATCTGTGAGAGCACTGTATGACCCTTAAGGGTTTAGTGGTTTGTTATGATTATTATAATGAGGATCTGTGGATCAGAATATAAATAATAATATTTATCAGAATTCTTCCTCCGTAAGCCATGCATGTCATAAGAGGTGACTACAGTGCCGGGAGAAAGAGGCTAGTAACCCCTTCTACTGTATAAATTTGTAAATTTTAAAAGAAAAAGATGGTTATTCTTTTTAGGTCATCCTGCCATTGTGGGTACAGCCAGTATGTTGAAAAATATATATATAGACGTTGCAGATTTTGTAGAGCATTTAAGCATCATCGAGGATTGCAATAGCGAAGGGAAATAAATAAGAAAGGAACATAGCAGCAGGCCTACTGGCCCATACGAGGTAAGTCTTATTTCCACATAACCTTTCTCACTCTTGTATTTATCTACCCTGTTTTTAGAATTTGATTATGTATTTCAGTGAAGCTATTTTTTTATTGTTACATTCCACTATGCTGTATGACCCTTGTGAGTTTAGTGCTTAGTTTTGATTGTAATAATAATACATTCCACAACATCTTTTTTGCCAAACGAGCTTTTCTGTACTATATTCAGTATACTGGTATCCATTCTATCCCAATTTATCAGTGTCAGATCCATTATTGCAAGTTTTCCTTGTTAGAATTATTCAGCACCTTGTTGCTGTATGATGCTTATGGGTTCAGTGCTTAACCCTTTGACTATTTCGGTTGTATATATACGTCTTACAAGCCACCATGTTTGACGTACATGTATATACGTATACTCATAAATTCTAGCGGCTTCAAATCAAGCAGGAGAAAACTGATAGGCCCACATGTGAGAGAATGGGTCTGTGTGGTCAGTGTGCACCATATAAAAAAAATCCTGCAGCACGCAGTGCATGAGAGAGAGAAAAGTCCGACTGTGTTTTTTAATTAAAATGCCGACTGTGGTCTATTTTCATATAGTATTTATGGTTGTATCCTCGTTTTCTTGGTCTCATTAGATAGAATGGAAAACATATTATAGAAATAGAGGTGAAAAAACCTTGAAATGGAGCTCAAAGTAGGGGAAATGTTTGATTTTTGCCGATGTTCAAAAGTAAACAAATGATGTCATTGTCCAATAAATGTCCAAGTAGCCATTCTAATGTGCAGTCATGAATGGGTTGACATTATATATACAATTATATTACAATATTGCAGTAGTCTGCATAACAGTAAATCTTCTATGTTTTGTTTGAATAAAAATTCAAAATAGAAAGCAAGAGTAATATCAGAGGGGCCTGGAGACGTGACTGATGAACAAAGAAAATGTTTTTAGAGCCAGGAATGTCTGCATTGTTCATTCTGGACCCTATTTTGAAATTGTCATATTTTTTTAATTTTCGTGAAATTGGCCAAATTGCAAATTTCTGACCATGTTATTAGGTAGTTGAAATTGGTAAATGGGCAGTTTCTGTTACTCAATCGATAGAAAAAATGGAGTTCTAAAGAAATAGCTATGAGTTTGGTTGACTGGAACAATGGAATTAGCCGAAAATAGGGTTCAAAGTGGGCGAATTCGCCGATTCGTAAATATTGCCGAGGTCGCTAACTTCGCCAGAGTGTAATTCTGTCAGTTTTCCATCATATTTTGTTCTTTTGGTGTCATTACCATCGGGAAAAGATTATCATTTCATAAGATTTTTTTTTTTTTTTTCAAAAATTTTTCGACACCAGGAGACACCTCAGGATTTGGGGTTGTGACAGTCAAGGGGTTAATTATGATTATAATAATAATCAGCACCTTATTTGTATATGCATTATTTATTCCTTTTATTTGTGTCCTTAACCCTTTGACTGTCGCGGCCGTATATATACGTTTGTGAGGTACCGTGTTTGACATATATATACTCATAAATTCTAGCGGCTTCAAATCAGGCAGGAGAAAGCTAGTAGGCCCACATGTGAGAGAATGGGTCTGTGTGGTCAGTGTGCACCACATAAAAAAAATCCTGGAGCACGCAGTGCATAATGAGAAAAAAAAAACTCCGACCGTTTTTTTTAATTAAAATGCCGACTTTGTGGTCTATTTTCGTATAGTATTTGTGGTTGTATTCTCGTTTTCATGGTCTCATTTGATAGAATGGAAACTATATTATAGAAATGGAGGTGATTTTGATTAATTTAACTATAAAAAGAACCTGGAAATGGAGCACAAAGTACAGGAAATGTTTGATTTTTGCCGATGTTCAAAGTAAACAAATAATGTCATTGTCCAATAAATGTCCAAATAGCCATTCTAATACGCAGTCATGAATGGGTTGATGTAATTTTTACAATTATTACAGTATTGCAGTAGTCCTGCATAACAGTAAATCTTCTATTTTTTGTTTGAATAAAATTTCAAAAGAAAAAGCAAGAGTAATATCACAGGGACCTGGAGACATGACTGATGAACAAGAAAATCTTATTTTAGAGCCAGGAATGTCTGCATTGTTCATTCTGGACCTTATTTTGAAATGTCGTATTTTTTAATTTTCGTGAAATTGGCCAAATTGCAAATTTCTGACCATTTTTATGGGTAGTTGAAATCGGTAAATGGGCAGTTTCTTGCGCTCAATCGATAGAAAAAATAGAGTTCTGAAGAATAGTTATGAGTTTTTTGTTGACTGGAATAACGGAATTAGCCGTAAATAGGGCTCAAAGTGGGCGAAATTGCCGATTTTTAAATATCGCCGAAGTCGCTAACTTCGCGAGAGCGTAATTCCGTCAGGTTTCCATCAAATTTCGTTTTTTTGGTGTCTTTACAATCGGGAAAAGATTCTCTATCATTTCATAAGAAAAAATAATTTTTTTTTTTCGAATATTTTGCGACACCAGGAGCAACTTCAGGATTGGGCCCTTCGACAGTCAAAGGGTTAATCCCTTCAAAGGAAAGGACCATGATGTTGGTGAAAAGCTCTTGATTCAGAAAATTCGAGCTATCCTTCCCTTGGGTCAGACTAATTACTTCCCATTTCCCAGGTGTTGTATGGCCCTTATGGGATTAGCACAGCCCCATGATTTTCATAATGTACACCTTAGTCAATTTTCTCTAACGTACTGGCCATCTCCCACTGAGATAGGGTGGTCCCAAAGAAGAGGAAACACATTTCCTGTTATTGATTCAACTGCTGTCTTCCCATAAGTTGTATTTTTCTTTATTCAGTGCATTTGTAGAGTACCTTTCAAGGGAGGTACTTCGATGCTAGTGAGGAACCTGGCCCATGGCTGGGCTCCAAAGTAAAAAAAAAACTCGGAACTCATCAAAGGTGAGGTAAGGAATTATATCTGTGTTTGCTCCTCTTGGATTGAACCTGAATGCCTCCTGTTTTCCAAGGCAGTGTAAAACACCTACAGGTTTTAACCCTTTGAGGGTCCGTCCCGCAGATCTATGGCTTTACGTTCAGGGTCCAAACCATAGATATACGTCATGAGCTCATCTCACTCTGATAAACTGTGAGTGGTACATTTGGGCCTAGATATGAGAGAATACATCTATGTGGTATGTGTGCACCACATAAAACAGATCCTGCAGCACGCTGTGTATAATGAGAGAAAAAACTGAAATCATGATTTTTCGATTAAAACTGACTTTGCAGTGTTTTTTCGTATGTTTTTTATAGTTCTATTTGCGATTTCTTGGTCTCATTTGATAGAATGGAAGACATATTACAG